CAAGTATACGGAAGCATCTCTATATCATGGGGCTGTCAGAATCCGAACTCTGCAGAGGGTGCGAACAAGAAGATGATACCATCGATCATATCCTTTACGATTGCCCGACGCTCTCATTTATTAGATGATTTGTGTTCGGCGAGTATCGGCTAACACCGGCCGATATAAGAGAAGCACCTCTTGGCGACGTTGTCAACTACATTAAATCTGTAGGCTGGCTCACGAGCTAGGATGTGCCTATCATCTTAGGAGGATGCACAATGGGCCTAATGAGGCCTAAGTGCCGTGGGGGTAACCCACCCTCCACACGTTACAGATACAAATACAACGAAAAAGTTAATTTGAGAAAAAATATGACATGTCGTGTTTTAAATTTAGGCTTGTAAACATCTATAACAATAAAAAAGTCTTCACATAACCTGCACAAAGTCGTTTCTTCTGATGGATTGATGACGTTCATGTGCCTTCTTAGGCGACAGTATTCGGTAAGACTGTTTTCCTAACGATTTGACACTTTTGATACAGTAGGTCTTTCGTGAACTTGGCCGATGGTTCCTTGATGAATTGTTTAGCCTGTCTCAGTCTTGGATAGTTGTTCCACCATTCCTGAGACTCTTTTTTTGCATCCATTGTTTGATGGATGCCTTGAACAATGCCTTAACAACTCCACATGTAAGGGTTTGAGGCCTGTCATGGCCTTAAGCCTTCTCGGGCTAATTCGTATCCCTGATATTCATTGTGGCCTGGCAGACAGGTTAGGGTCACCTTGTTTTGACTACTTAGCTCTGCCAGGTCTTCTAGGCAGTCTTTTACCAGTCGTGATTTGATTTCTGGTGAGAGAATTACCTTTAGAGTAAGGCTGGTAACCGTGACCGGTTAACGGTTCCGTAGGACCGAAAAACCGTTAAAGAACGTAACCGGTTTAACCGGAACCGATTTAACCAGAACCAGTTTAACTGGAACCAGTTTAACCGTAACCGGTTTAACTGCAACCGGTTTAACCACAACCGGTGTAACTCTAATCGAACCGGTTAAACATATCACTTGTTGAGCCGTTCGGTTTGATCGGACCGGTTAACCTGACCGATTAACCGTATAATCTGATCGGTTGACCGGATAATCGGACCGTTTAACCTTATATCCGGACCGGTTAACCAGATATACGGACCGGTTAACCGGATAATCGGACCGGTTAACCGGATATCCGGACCGGTTATAATAATAGTAAAAATCCGGTTAAAACCGAAACCGATCAAAATCAGTCGAACCGGTTAACCGTTTATCACGTCAGGAATTGACAGACTTACTTTAGAGCTGTTTTGCTATCAGAGTAAATGGCAATAGTTTTGCCTGATACTTACGAATTTAATATTTGTCTTGCACAGTTTTGTATGGCTATTAGTTCAGCCTGAAACACTGTTGCATATTCCCATGGACCCATAGATTCCAGCACCAGCTTTTTTCTTGATCTTTGAACAGTCTATGTACCAAACGACTTCAGCCTGTACGGGAGGTCCCTGTTTCCAGGATTCTCCGGCTTGTATTTGAATTTGAAAGTCTTTTTCAAATTTGCATGTGGTTATATGGCTGTATCAGTAGGCATTCCTAGAATCTTCCCAGACAGCACACTATATTCCTGGCATATGCCACCAATCTGCCTATTTGCCAAAATATATTGCAATATTTATGAAATATTCACAGAATATATTTCATATTCTATATTCTAGAAAGATATTCCAGGCATATGTATTTTTGATATGCTCTGCATATTCATTTTTCATATTGTATAGATATCTCTTTAGAATATTATATTATATTTAACTATTTTGTTTTATTATTTATTAGTACAAATGAAGATATAGTCTACAGAATCATCCTTTGTTTAGTTTATAAAGACTTAAACAAAAACGTGAACTTAGAACTCCGGAATGTAACTTTAAATCATGCAAACTTATTTTCAATTAATAAAAAAAATCAAACCTCCGAGATCAAATTATCTTTATCTTCATAGATAAAATAAGTATGTATAGTTTTCCTATAATGTAGACAAGAAAAGGACAAAAGAATGATTCTAAAAGTCAAAAGTATGCGCCTAGTAAGTATTGGTAGTTGGTAGTAAAAATTACCTAATAGTGTCTTATTGGATGCACTCATAATCTAGCCTATCGTCGAACGTAAGTTTTTGTTACACGGGAAGTTAGATTGTGAGGAATATATTTTTATTCATGATACCTTGGTCAAATACTCTAAACGATGAAGGCCACTAATAAAAAAAAAGAAGAAGAATAAGACACATAACCAAACATTGTCAGATTTGCTGACGTGATTATCCTTCCTCCATGGACGTGATGTAGTTTTTTCTCACGATATACCCACCTAAGGGGTAAGTCTGATTAATTATGGCCCTTCTGTAGTATCAGTGTTGTGCTTAAAATCATAAATATTTTATAAGAAGTGTAAATCAATTGGTAGACGAATCTTTTGTTCTCAAATAATGATAGAGCATTAGCTTCAGATGAATGTAAAATGTAAGCTTCTTACTGAATCTTTCGAGGAAATACCATTATTCTTTTCTCCAGGAAAAAAACTTGTGTAAAATTCAAGAATCTGAGTTTATTTCAACAGCTCTCTTTGTATAGGATAATATTAATTCAAAGACATCTACGGCTAATGATTGACCTATTCTTAGTAATAAAGTAACTGATAATTATAAAAGTGTTAAGAGGAAATAAAAATATGGACAATTCGTAATAAAATTGCAGATAAGGCACTATGTAAACCTATTTTTGTTTTTTTAGAGATGTGTAGGAAAATCCACAGTACACATATGGCAACGGAAAATGTAGAGGCCTTTACTATAAATAAAGTGACCCAAAAATGCTATAAAAGTAAGTATTACTGTAATGTTTGTCTCAAGATTTTGAAATATTTCTATTTTACTGATATACATATCTTATATGTCATTTTTTTTAGCAGAAAAGTACGTGAAGAACCTCAACAAATAAATTTAAATTTTTAGTTTTTTGTATGTATGTATTTTTATTTTTTTAAAATTTGCTTTATTTTTAAAATAAAATTTATTTTGTATTTAAGTATGGGTTTTATTTTCTAAACTATGGTACGGCATAACAAAAAAAAATTGAATATGCCATGAATATTCAAAATACCATGAATATAGGCATACATAGATATCCTCAGTAAATTCAGAGAATATGCCATACATATATTTTGGCAAATAAAAATATATCGTGGGCATATGTTTCATGGTGACCTTGAATATTCCTGCAATCTTCCCGTCATATGCCATGGCGGATATGGCATATCCATGGAATATAGGAGTATGCAGTTGAGATATGCATTGAATATTCATGCAATATTTTTGTGCTGTCTGGGTTATCCTCTTTTACTAGCTGATATAGCCTTGTATGGTCAGCGCTATGTAGTTGGTATATTGTATGAAGATGTGTATTGCGCTGCAGTTGACGTAGTACGCCTGGCCCCAGTGGCACAAATACCTTTCTCCAGGACTCAAACAGGTGAGCCGCTGAATGCCGGTGAGTTGGCATATTGCACTTGCCTGCGCAGTTTTGGTTACCCACGCCACTGCGACTGCGCCATAGGGTATCATGGGTCTTATCACCCTTGTGTATAACCATGTGATCATTTTGTGACTTAGACCCCAGTTTTTCTCACATATTCTTCTACAGCTTCCAAGCGCTATTGTAACTTTGTACGCGAGCTTTTTGAAATGTTGATTCCACGTCAGCCCCATTCGCAACGGGGCTAATAACTCCTAGTAGCTGATACCTTTGACGGTTGAAATGTATTGAAAAAAATTGTCTCCCGCTGGAAATTTTTTGCATCCGCTCCTGCCCATTCGCCATAACTTAGACTATTTTTACATTTTTTTATAGAAAATCCGGGGTGAATAGAAGGTTGACAAGTTGAAATATTGAATAAAAAATTCTTGCATAATTTATAGTTGAGAGTCTTACAATCATTTTCAGAGAAATTTAAGCACGTTTGGACTTTTTTACTTCCAATTTCACACCCATATCAAGGTTTTTAGTTGAGAGTTTTACAATCATTTTCAGAGAAATTTAAGCACGTTTGGACTTGTTTACTTCCAATTTCACACCCATTTCAAGGTTATTTTTTTTGCATTGCAGATATTAACCGACCCAAAAAAAAATGCTTGCAATATCATATCTTAAGTTCTAAAAACCTCGTCTAACGTACTTTACGAATTTCGTTAAAAAAACGTAAATATTCGGCCACATGGTCGAAATCCCAACACCGGAAGTATCAAAACCGGACGGCAGAAACCGCTTGCAAAGAAATTGTTTATTGTTATAGACCTCTAGAAGCATATATTTAATTGCGAGCAAAAAACTAAAAATCTATCGATAAAGAAGTTTACTTTGAATTTGACAGGTCACATGTTGTTCACTTCCCTCCCCTGTATCCAACGACAAATATCAAGCAAAAAACACCACGTCCACTTTTTGCGCAGTCAAATAAGGAACTACAATATTTCTTACCAATTCTATTACACACGACAGATAGTTACCGATGCAGGTCTATGTTGCCGATGCGAGAAGTGATTAAATTGAACAAAACCATTTTTTTAATAGGTTTCTGTAGGTACTTCAAAATTAAATATGATCGCTATCTACCCTATTATAAAAGTACCTACCTGTCTGAATTTAAACCTCAATTCGTGATTTTCAGGGTAGGTTTAGGGGGATTTGGGCTTGCTCCACTTCCGTCGTGGATAGGTCTGACCCATTTGTATTAAATCAGTGCATAATTAGTAAAAACAGCAATCTTAAAAAATGTTTTGTTCATTAAAAAATTGTTTTTATCTCTACTGTCTTTTTCACCCCGCGGCATATTATATCGAAGTAGTTGTTTACCTTATCCTTATACATATAATTAAGTCTATTATTATCTACCCCTGTCCAGTCCGATACTGTACCTATAAATTCCTAAATAGAGTAAAAAAAGTTGATTGTTATTTGTGCCATATCATTGACATTGAGTTTTCTAAATTGTTCATTGCCATTTTGAAATGGTGTGTAAATACAAATACCAACTTTTATGTTTTTTAAAGCAGATTTAATTCAAAAATATGAACGACACAGAGAAGCCCGAACGCCTGGTTTTTCCAGTAAGATCTGAAACTGAATTACTTACAATCCGTACCATTCTTTATGTTTGAAAAATCTAGTCACATACAATTAATTGCTTTTTTTTAGAAAACTATTGTTTATCATCCTAAAGTAAAAACAGGAAACTGGTATGAAGACCAACAACGATATAAAAGAGACAACTTGAGACACAATACCGAATATTATCATGAATATCAGGAAAAACCATTGACTACTGTTCCCGATTCCGTAAAATGGGATTTGTTGTTTAAATCTGAGGTAAGAGAAAACTTATAGTTTTTATTTATTATTATAAGACAATGTTAGAAGACAAATTAAAAATAAATCAATGATATTCTACAGTAGAGGTATATAGAATACACAAAGTTTTTAATAATGTAACGATTGTTTATTTTAAAAATAAATTGCATGGAGAACTAGAGGATCATGATCTGGAGACGACAGGGAAGAATGCGGCTTAAAGAAGCTATATAGAAAGTGAAGATTTGGACTCTGAAATGTATTTATTTTCGGATGATGCATCTTCTGCTGTAATTTCTTCAATTTCTTCCGATATAGAAAGTAAGATCTCTTCCTTAGACACGGATATTTTTTAGATATAACATCTATGAAAACTGATATTTCTTCTAACATTTCTTCATCAGAAACTTAAGTTTCTTTTGATGTTTCTTCTATATAAAATGATATTTTTTCATTAGACAATAAACTTTCTTTATTGAAAAATAAAGTCTTTTCCGATATCTCTTCTTTAAAAGAGTAAATTTCTTCAGCCTTGGAAAGCAAAATGTCTTCTATGGAAAGTACATTTTCGTCTAATATTTCTTCCTTAGAAGGAAAGGTGTCTACCAAAATATGTTCTCTAAAAAACGAAATTTTCGCTGATGTGAAATAAAAGAAATTGAAAAGAAGATAGAAGAACTGGTACACACAGAACAGATCAAGAGCGGTGAAATAAAGTGCCATGAGGTAGAGTCAAAGGTGAAATTGGAAGGAGTAAATGTCATTAACCAACTACCCTAAGCAGTTTGAAACAGCAAACGAATGGTCTAAAAGAGAGAAGACAGTAAATTGGACTATCGCTCTTCGAGCAGACGCTTTAGATGTGCTTCAGACTATACCTGTGGAGGAGACAGCGGATCACGTTGAACAACTTAAAAAGAGACTAAACATGCGATATGACTACAAATACTTGGAGCACTTATAACAATCAGAAGTTAAAAAATAGCAAACAGAAACGAGACTTTAAGAATATAAAGTAGATATAGCCAGGATGGTGCGATTTGCCTACCCATCAGCTCTAGAAAATATGATGGAATGTCTAGCTGTCCAAACATTTGTTGATGAATTCCGTGACCATGAAATGCAGAAAACACTCCGTCTAGCCCGTAAAAAAACATTGGTCGATCATGTGTTGTCCGCTGCTCTAGAGTATGAGGCAGCTACGCAAGCTTCTGGTGAATACAGTAAAGTGAGGACTGTAAAAGAGGACAATAAACTCGACCGATTGGTTAATATAATGAAGAGCCTTACTGACAAGAATATGAAGACAAAGCCCAGCAGGTGCTTGAATTGCGATGAACTGGGACATGTACGCAGTTCGTGCAAATGCCCTAGGGTCACAACAAACCAAGGCAACACGCTGCAGGAAAACTAGAGCGGGTCGGCGTAGAGGGGACAGCTTCGACCTGAAACCGTTCTAAAGACCCTCTCATACTGATAGCATCTTTGAAATGTCGCGTTGGCAGTGTATGTGTATACGTAGACGACAAAGTAAATGGTAGAAAGTATTACACTGTTGATGAATACTTGAGCAACCATGATTATTATACGACCAACAACCATAATTAACCGCAAGAAACTTTTACCATCAAGGTTGCGACTGCCACAAGTGAAATTGTCAACATCCACGGGGCAATCCAGGTTCAATTAGGAATTGGTTAAGAAAAATTCACTTACACCGTAATTGTCGCTGATATCAAAGAAAATGTACTAGGAATGGATGTAAATGAACTTAGATGGCTTCCAGTTAAAGTTTAAATAGAAGTTTTAGTATAAATGTTGTCAAGTAAAGGTACATTTTTTTAAATAAATTATAAGTGAGATAGCGCTTAAGTATACATCAATTAATTAGTACTTGATGTAAATAAATTATAAATGCTGTTTTAAATAAATAAACTATTTTAAAATAAATAATCGTTACAATAATGTAATTGTATTTTATTTCATCCTGTCCAGTAAATCAACTTACCTTGTACACATTTGCGGCCGGTAAATGGAACATTACAGTATCAGATACTGTAATGTGTTGCCTAGCAACCTTGTTTTGATTTTAGAAACGATTGACTTATTACTTTCGATTTTTGACAAATTGTCACTTATATGTATAAAAATATAAGAAATAAAATATTCAAATATACATAATTAGCAAATATATTAAACATCAAAAATATATTTTTAAATTAACTACATCAATAATTTATTATTTATTGCTGCAATTTTTAAATGTTCTTCAAATTCTTTTTGAACTTCTTCTCTTCTTAATGGTGAATATATAGGATGGAATTCTTTGTCTAGAAAATGCTTATGTTTCATATAATATATATATTATTTTGAAACAATTTGATTTTTCTTCTTATTAAGAAGGATACGAAATTTAACAGAAATGTCCAAAAGAGCCTCTTCAATTTTTCGAAACAACATCTTATCATCCGCTTCTAAAGCATAATTACGAAGTAAATCAGTTAAATAGGTTAACTGACGATGGCAATTACCGATATCTTTAAATTCTGTACATAATGTACAAGCTGAGTATACTACTTTTGCCATGTATTCATTAAAACTAAGAATATAATAGGTAATAACTATACAAGTTTTATAAGTAACTGTCATAATTGTCATAATTCAAAGACAATATAAACAGTCATAGCCGACTATAAAAATGCGACCGCGTTCGGATAAGGTATTTTATTAGAAAATTGTCCACAGATTATAGGTGGCATTTCTTGCAGTAAATTATACTCTTCGACCAACTTTAGTAAATGAAGAATATTTTGTAACTATAAAAGATGCTTTCAATTACATTTTTTTAAATATTTTGCTTAACTAAAATTAGTAATTTTTATTTTGTTTGGACTCATATCTGTTGATTCCTATTAATACTATTTAGGTAGTTCTTGTTGTAAAATATGTTTATCTACTAACTTTAGTAAACGAAGAATATTTTGTAACTATAAAAGGTGCTTTTAATTACATTTTTAAAAATATTTTGCTTAACTAAAATTAGTAATTTTTATTTTGTTTGGACTCATATCTGTTGATACCTATTAATACTATTTAGGTAGTTCTTGTTGTTTTTCTACTAACTTTAGTAAATAAAGAATGCTTTATAACTATAAAAGAGGCTTTTAATTACATTTTTTTAAATAATTTGCTTAACTAAAATTAGTAATTCATTCATAATTCAGTTTGGACCATATCTGTTGATGCATATTGAAACTATTTAGATAGTTCTTGTTGAAACATGTCTTTCTACTAACTTTATTAAACAAAAACAATTTTTTCAATATTTTTCTTAACCAAAATTAGTATTTATTATATTATTTTATTATCAAGTCAGCAGTTATATCTATTACTAAACACTAAACACAATACCATTTTAATTAAGTACCTACAATATGAAAACATTCAGAAGTAAGTAAGTAATAAATTATTAAAAATAAGTAATTAACAAAATCTTTACACTAATTTTTTATTTATATAACAAAGTTCAATTTATTTGTTAAAATTCACCGTTATAGTACAATTTGTATTATTAACAATATTGATTCCTGATGTGGATGGAACATTCTCATCAGAAACAATAGTATTTATTTCTGTATTCTTATTTTGTTGCAATACTTGTACAAAATTCTCACCACCTTGAATCATTCTTGCAATTTTCGTTTTTCCTTCAAGTGCATCTTCAACATATTTTTCTGCTATAGCAGAACTTTTCCAACCCCCATGCCGTTTTAAGATAGATGAATCTACACCTGGAGTGCGTTTAGAAACCTCGCACGGCGCGTCTGGACCCTATTCTAATGTATGTGGTGAAACGCGCCGTGCGAGGTTTCTAAACGCACTCCTGCATTTGCAAGAAAAGTTGCAGAGGTGTCCGTCTGAAACAGTGACCTGTAAACTTTTCAGGATTTGGAAGTTTCAAATATTCTGCTATTTTTCTGGGCATTGCACCTATAGTATGAATTCCTACTCTTTGTTGGATGCATTTACCATTTCGATACCCAAGAAATAAAAAGTTTTCTTCAAAATTTTTAGGTCTTAGGGCAAGATATTTCCGGTATATTTCCAGAAAATTTATTACAGTAAAAACACGTTTTACATTAGTTTTAGTTTGCGAAATCGTGATTACCAATTGAGTTTCTGTGTCTTGAATGTCATTGAGAGTCATAGAATACAATTCTTCCCGCCGAAAACCTCCAGCAATTCCAATCATAGCAATAACTTTGACCAACAAATAGACTTCATCAGATGCTTTATTGAGAAATAAATTTACTTTATCTCTCGTCAATACCTTTGACTGCATCGGTTGATGTCCAACACTACATTTTTTTAAGAAAGCGATGATTTTCGTGTACTTGCTGATGTTCACGTTCTCTTTAACTAGTAACATTGCGTTTAGCATAGAATGTTTTGCCCACAAGGAATTGCTATTTATTCTCTTTGACTATAAAATAAAATTAATACATATTGATCCAATAAAAATTATTTTAAAAAAATCATGCAGATCATACTTACTTCATCTAGAAAATAAGCCAAAAGAACATCTTCCTGTATGGTAGTCACTTTATGAAATTGTTTCCATTCACAAAACAATTTATATTCTTTGTTATATCTTGGTGAAGATTTTGATGGGATTAATTTATTTGTTGCTTCTGCAGCCTTATTTAAAATATCATCCATAAACTCCATAATTTGAAACACAAATATTGCGATCTTGTCTATTTGTTATAGTGAGAAGCAAATGGCAATCATAGGTAACTATGGAAACAATTGCTCAATTGCAAAGTAATGATGTGAAATTACCAACTATTTTCTTTTTTAGTTTTAATCAACATATTTATTTTTTTATAGAGTATTATAAAGACAGGATGAAATAAAATATCATACGATACACGTCCGTTAGGTGTTATTACAGTACTCGTTTATATTCCGGACTCGGCTCCTGCGTCGCCTCGTCCGTAAAACAACTCGTACTGTAATAAGTCACCTACCGGACTTATAACGTAAAATATTATAAAGGAACTGTTAATATAAATGTTATGTAAATCGTTACAGGGTACTTAGAACACTTCGGCGTACTTATCTCTCTCAGATGAGTACCAAAAGTCGATCCAGTATGACATCATACACACTATATGAAATACTGAAATTATCCAAAATATATATCTCATGACATGACATATATCTCATGACATAGCTGAAAGGAGAGTATAACTACGCGTACATACTAAAATAATTTCATATTGTCTTATATTAGGCAGATAGAGCTGTCCCATCGGCTGCCGCATTAAAATGAGCGTGACAACTGCTAAATTGGTGAGGATGATTTGTGCGAGCTTGTTTATCTGAGGTGCGAGCACGCGTTTTATGAATGGACCAGATTGTACTATGATTCCTGCTTTACACCGTTGCCACACTGTAAATAAATGGTGTACTTTCCTGTAAATCACATTCAGCTACAAAATAATAGTTGTAACTAGAAAAACAAAGACAATAAACAGATAATAACTGTCACTAAGAATGCAAATATACTTCCTTAATGTAATTTTTAAAGTATTTTGTGCTTTTTAAATAATTCCGAGTTATAACCATAAACAATGCTTATAACAAGACTTTTCCATAATAATTTGGCAACTAAGAGTATAACACCGTGAATGCCTTGCAATTTGTTTTTTTCTAGTCTAAAGTCTAGTAATTTTTCGTCACCATCTCGTATTAAGAAAGTTGTGTAGGTACTTATTTATATAATTGCGGCACTTTTTGAACAATACTTCATTTTTTTCTCATTAGGGTACTACCAATGTCTGTCCACCACGATTGAGTGACGCTTCGCCTAATTTTCATGACAATTTTGCCAGTTCATACGAGTTGTCTTACAGTTACTTTCCAAAAATTGCTGCCCCAATTATTGAAAATGTCCCACCGAAACCAAGAAAATTTGGAAAATACAGACCCGTTCTCGAATTGATTGAAAGTTATGTAAGTATTCAAAAGTATAAAAAAAAACAGTAGAATAATAATTATTAACCCATTATAGGGTACTGGAATATATACTTTCCAACAGAATTTTAGCTTAAAATGTTTGGTTACCATGTTTCCAGGTGCGCAGTGCAGTACTTGTTATCCATTGAATGCCTGATAAATAATGTTCCGCGGTAATCAGTCCAGTTTACGCGAGCGCCTCCAAAAGCGGGAAATATATATCCCAGTAAGCGTTTTCGTGTTTTTTTTTAAATAATATTTGTTTTGCAATTTTAAAATTGTTATTCCTTTTTTTGATAGTCGACAAATGACTTAGATAAGTACTATCGTCCTAAATTAGCAGTATCTATATTTAATGTGAAAAAAATATAGGTATGTATTTTATAATCTTGGCTCAGTTAATTGATGTTCTGAATGTAAATAATTTTTTCTTGTTACGCAACATTTTTAAAAACAATTTTTACAAATCAAAAAAGTTTCATTTTGATTTTTGAATTGTGAAATAAAATAGAAAAACTAACGAGCAGTAAAAAAAATAACACAAATTTTAATGCAAATATATTCTGTGCCCTTTCTAAAGAAACCTTAAAATTTTTATAATACAATCTAGAATTAAAAAAGCAATAAGTGGATTTATAATAGACAAGTCAAACAAGTTTTATTTGAACAATTTTCATTAAAATTTGATTTTTTTACATTTTGTAAAATTTCTCGAATACGGTCCATTTTAGGAAAATTTTGTATTGAACAAAAATTATAGATAATAATGGATGACGCCTATTGATTCTAAAAAAAAAACTGATTGAAAATGGGGGTTAAGGGGTCTGTTAAACTGTCGAGTATAATATAGAATTCCAAACATTCTTGATTAAATAGAAATAATTCAAAATATTAAAACTTTCATTTACGTTATTCAATCCAATAAGATTTGATGGCACTGCTACTGAATAGCGCAAAACAACATAGCGCGGGACGGAATAACCCAAAAAAAAACAACGCTAGGATGAAACAGCGCAAGGACAATACTGCTTTCACAAAAAGCGATCAGATAAAGCAGAGTCGGTGTTAGGACGTAATAGAGTGATGATAAAATAGAAAATTTATAAAGTACTGGGTCAAAATATCACAGGAAAAATTAGCGCTCCAGGTCGCACAGGTTAAGTAAATTAGTTAGGTTTCTATTTTTCTCATTTTATGTATATTTTTTTTAAAAGCAACCCGCGGTGGCCCAGATTAGGTAAATTAACCAGTACCATCGCGGGTTATTGCTTCGTAAGAAAATATACATAAAATGAGATAAATAAAAAACGTAATTAATCTACCTAACCTGTGCGGCTAGGAGCGCCCCACGATGGCACAGGTTGGGTGATTTGGTTAAGTTTTTTTTTTGTTTAAATAATAATAAATAAAAAAAAGCGCTGTTTGTCGGCTATTTAGTGCTAATATGCCCAACGTTAATTTCTCTACATGTTTTTGTCATTGCGTTACTTTCTCTGCTGCTATTTTGTCCTACGTTATTTTGTACTATCTTTACTTTTTCTAACGCTATTTTGACGCTGTGCCATATTTCACCCTGCGCCAAATTTGATATAACAGGTTTGATATTTATCTCTGTCTATCAAATTTATCGGATACCAATTTATTTTCTTACAAAGTCAAACCATGTTTATGTGGTACAGTGAAACTCATTTTCAAATGGAATAAAAACAAAAATATTATTCACAAGATTTTTTTAAACTAATCCTATTTTTCAGGGCAACATTAATAACTACGGTCTTGGTGATATAATTAAAAAACACATTCAATATGAGGAAAATGCAAAGCGTAGGTCAACTTCCCTAGCCATGACTGATGCCGATTATCGAGAACCTGGAAAAGATCATTATGTATTCTGTAGATGGTAATTGAACGGTTATCTAAGCACCTACGATTTTACGCTATATCAATTGCAAATGTTGCATAAATGTGACGTAATTTATGTGCCAAACAAAGATAACCCAGTCTGGTATTGATTTTGACATACAGTGGGGTCTATTCTGTAACAATTGCTTTATATTTAACGGCCTTTAAAAATATTTTCTTCTTTACTTCTGTCATTATTTAAACGGATCTTTAAAATACATTAGACGGATTAGAGGACTATCTTAAAGAAATCTGTTTAAATAATGACAGAAGTAAATTAACGAATACGAACATATTTTTATTGGCCGCCAATATTTTTAAAGGCCGTTAAATATAAAGGAATTGTTACAGAATAGACCCCAGTATCGGCTATTTAACGCCTTCCATTATCTCTTGGCACAAATGCGTGTGAAAACTACAGAGAGCCAGCAGTAAACGAGTAGTAGAGCTCGATTTTTTTGTGAAGAGCACACTCGTCATAATGTGCAGAAACTAATTTGAGTTTGTAGGCGTGGTCAGACAGATTTAAATGTGATCAAAGCCACCTGCCGCTCATACAAGTTGGCATAGTGTTACTTATTTGTACTTGTTGCATTTATTTAGCTGCGCGAACTGTGGCATAGCTATTACCAAATGTGCTCTTCACAAAAAAATCGAGCTCTACCAGCGATGCCAATTGATACGGACTGGCCACCGTTACAACGCGGTCGGGCCGTACAAAACGCTCCAATAATGCCAACTCACTGCAGTTTCATCACGTACTCCTCACTGGCCGATATATACTGTATATGTTTTGAGTTTTCTTTTTTAATATTGTTTTCAGTTTATAGAAAGTAGTTTAAAAGTATTTTTGATCTATATTACAGTGGTATACCTTTAAATGAATACAAATAAAAACAAATATGAATTGGCCTAACCTCTCATTTCATTTAACATTTTAACTTAAAAAAATTTTATACTTATTTTAGGAAATATTAAGCTAGTACCTATATAATAGAAAATTTCTCAAGAGTTATTTTAATACAAGAAACTCTCAAACTTGTCGTAAAAAAAACTACAATTTAGTAATAAACAAAAAGCAATAAGTCTACATTCTGTCACTGTCAACTTTGTTTGGCACAAAAATTACGTAGTCTTATGGCGTTTTCCATTGGCATGATCAGTGCGTTTTAACTGTATTCTTACTTTCTTCTTTTTCATATCGACAAATAAGGACACAAATATACTCAGTGCATACATCCAGTGCCAATGGAAAACGCTATTAGACATTCCAAACTGAATGGCTACCAGTGGGTTTTGACAGAGGTTATGATATGGCAAAATTGTGGCAACCCTATAGGCCTGGTGATTTGACAAGGGCAATGAAATAGATAGTTAGTAGTTACATAGAACTACCCAGACAACACACCAACTCCCAGAGATATCCATAGAATATATTTTGTGGATATCCAATATATCCACAGGATATCAGAAATATTCCGTGGAACTAATATAGATATCCAAATGTCCCTCTATATCCAGAATATAGAAGATATCCTATGGATATTCAGCAAAATATCTAATGAGTATCTCCAGACAATACAAGAAATCCCAGATATATCCATAGAATATATTTTGTGGATATCCAACCAAATGTCCGTCTATATCCCAGGATATAGAAATTCAGATAAATATTTTATAATTATTTTTAGTAGAGGTTCATAAATAACCAATGGTTATTGAATAACGTCGAAAGAAAATAGAGGTAAAAAATATTCCCAACAATCTGCCTTTGATTTTGCCTACTAAGGAGAAAATCATCCTTATTAGGAATCTTCAGCAATAAATGGAACTTCTCGACTTCAGTCTCTAATGAAGTCTGTTTGTGAAACAATGTCGATCAAACTCAATTACGGCGGGTTAAGCATGAGTAGATACGAAAGTGGTATCGCCATCTATACTTAGGAAGCAAAATCAAAAATTACATCTAGTAGATATCCACGATGGTTTGCGTCCGCGCTTAGACTTTGATATATTTATAGTGGATGTCCATGGAATATTGAATACACCTTAAAAAAATTAATTTTAAATATCTCAACGGTACTATTAGCCACAATGGCGAGTACAATGGCGTAATTTTTTAATAATTTGCTATATAATTACAATTATTTATGGACATTTGCATGTCTATAAATTACATTTCATGGATATAAAATAGATATCCACCATGGACTGGACATTCAGTGGATATTGGGATGTTCAGTAGATATCCAAAGGATTTGGTGTGCTGTCTGGGTAGTGGATGTTCATGGGATATTGAATACACCTTAAAAAAATTAATTTTAAATATCTGAACGGTACTATTAGCCACAATGGCGTAATTTTTTAATAATTTGCTATATAATTACTATTATTTATGGACATTTGCATGTCTATAAATTACATTTCATGGATATAAAATAGATATCTACCATGGACTGGACATTCAGTGGATATTGGGATGTTCAGTAGATATCCAAAGGATTTGGTGTGCTGTCTGGGTATATATGTATCATTGACCCTGTTAATGACTATAGGGTTGCCATATCAAAACTGTCAGTCCCCACTGGTAGCCATTTGGACAGGTCGTTGGAATGCCTAATGGTAAATTGATATTCTTCACGCTCGTCAAATGTATCAAAACTAAACTACTTTTCTATAGTCATATTTCATTTAATTTGATCATTTTGTATAATTTTCTTTAAATGTAAAAATAATTTTTACTTTGAAACTTTTTTTTTAAATCATACACAATATTTATTGTTATTTTAGGCCTAGATACAGAGCAATAAAGAAAAAAACTGCTGATATTTATCCTCGTCGTCCACCTAACCACCCTAGACTCTCTGATTATAACCCGATAACTTGGGAACCTATAGATAGAGAAAAATTAACGAGAGCCCCCAAAATTGAGTTGGATTGTTAAAAATTACTTTAGATAAAGAAATTTTAAAAACCATAATTAATTAGTATAGATACTAAAAAGTTTTTTCAAATTATAAATTATTGTAAAATATGTGCCAAGACAACACAATGCATGTTTTAAACATCTAAATTTAGAATAAAGAAATTAAATAACTCAAAACGACGTATTTTTATTGTAATTGTAAAAAGTTAAAATATGAGCGTCCTTACATTAGATAGAAAGCAGGCAAAATCTATTATCTGCCTTCTATCTGAATTAGGGCCTGGTTGAAACCCTACTCGTACCAAAGCTCTAAGCTTATTGTACCCCTCACAGTTCCTACCCCGCATATTCCTGATGAATGCAAGAAATATGTGTGATGGGCGCTTTCACGACTTCTTCAGGTTCCGGATATTATTGCACTCCGAAGTGCAAATCCCGTTCCCATTTAAGGTTCCGGCAATGGTACAGTATGTGATTTGGAGTTTCGTCCTCCTGTTCCCATCCAAATCCATAGCCTCCTTCTCCACTGCAAGGTGTAAGGAGGTAGTAACTCCATTGCTGCAGTGGGCGTAGTTCTAAATGCCCGTTATTATTAGACAGACCATTTGTACCTTATCTAATTTTCTGCTAGCCGTTATACCTTTAGCCTTGTGCCACCATATGACTGATAATCGTACTACAACCATTGTATAAAGCCAGTGTATCATACTTGGTTTAAGCCCCCATGTGTCCTTTTTGAAAAGGACAGTCTTTTTGTCAAATAAATTGTCCTTGTGACTTTTTAAACCTTAAAATGTCCTTTTAGAAGCTCATCGTCAGAAAAAGGACCTGGTTTATAAAAATATAAGCTGAATACCTTTTTTATTTTTTTAGAAAGACCTGGTTTTTTTTTAGAAATTTCCCTTTCGTAAATCTGGCAACCCTACCTTTATTCACTTTTCAAGAAGGTGGCAACCCTAGTCTACAGCTCCAGAGTATTCTTACAGCTTTTTCTATACGGCTGCAGAAGCTAATCTTGTCATTAAGAGTGTTTCCAATTATTTAACTTCCTTTGCCATTTTTAGATGTTCTTCCCACAATATAAGGCTCCTTCCTTCGTTGAAGGTTCCTTTTTCTTGCGAATGCAACAACAGAGGTTCTTATCGGGTTTGTGGCACCATCTTTAGTGCTGCTGCATCCTTTCGGAAACAACAGCCCTAAATGTTCCTTTTACTACAATGTTTATGTCGTCTGTAAATGCTTGCGTGTATAGGTTTTCTCTCTCTAACTCCCATAATAGGTAATCAACTACCAAGGTACACATGAGTGGAGATAAGACTTCTCCCTGCGGGCATCCCCTATTAACTGAGACCTCTCTTGTGTTAAAGAGATTACTGGTAATGGTTATATGATTAAGCATGAACTCGACCTACTGTGTAATGTGCAGTGTGCATAGATATTGAATTGTACGAGGCCGAATTAAAGACTTCTTATATATCTAGGAAAACTCCTAGTGCTATTTATTTGCTTTTCAATGCTTGTTCCGCCTTATGAGTTAGCTTATGTATGGCTGCATCGCGACTTTCCAGATTGGTACGCAAACTGGTATCGATGTATCAGGTTACACCGTAGACATCGTCACATATACAGGGTGTAACTAAATAAGTGTAAAACATTTAAGGGGGTGATTCCTCATAGAAAAAAAGATAGGATCTTTCATATAAAGAAACTTCATTAGAGCATCCCTTGTTAAGATACAGCCCCTTAAAGGAGGTACATAAAATTTGTTTAATAATTTTTTTTCTATTGAACATTACTAAGTTATCTGTATGAGTTCTGGCAAATAAAAGAAAGTGAGAAAATTTAATACATTTAATAAAAAAAGTAAAAATAGTGAAATTTTACATATAATAAATTAATAGTTAGTGATTAAATCTGAATAGAAAATGAATTAAAATTGACTGATACGTTTTTATGAATAAAATTTACTGTTAGATAATTATTCATTGTACCAACCATGAGGCATTCTAGTATGGTGTAAGTATGGTACTTCCCTTTTGTATGTCGTGTAGTGGACAATCCGCCTTTAGGTACTTCGATACTTGGAGAAACTATGTAACTCGGACTTCTTGTTTCTTAGAGCTTCCTGGAGCAACTACGTAACTCGGTACTTCCTGTTTCTCAGAGCTTCTAGGAGTTTCTTGACTTCTTGGGGCTTCTTGGAGCCACTACAGGTTTAGAAATAAAAAGAACCTCAGTACCGTGTGTAAAAGTACATATACATGCCAATTTGGAAATCTAACGGATTTAAGCATAAACGGGACAAATATTAAAGTTACATCGTCTGAACAGAATATAAAATATCACGACAAGTATTCAAGTTACATCATCTGAACAGAATATAAAATACTTATCAAGGCTAAAATAAGTTATAACAATAAGTTTTACATCATCTGAACAGAATATAAGCTATTTATAAGGCCAGAATAAGTTAAGAGCCATAAATTTCCGTTTAAACTGCATTTCCAGACTGACTTGTAATTCAATTATTTAGTTTCCTCCCTGCGTATATATCAAAGAAAGCGTAAAAATATTATTAGTTAGGGTAGCTATAATCTATATAAAATAAAGCAGTAATAATAAACCGGCATTCGTCGGCATGGTGGTAATAAAAAAAAAAGCAAATGGCCGATCTTTTCGGTTTTCCAACGAAATCCAGCAAAATGTCAAAATGTGAATAATATAAGGCGATAGAAACATTACCTGACAATTATCCCTTAACGTTAACACACAATAAACACAAAGACAAGATAATTATGGAAAAACTACTAATAGTTAATTATTTGCCGGCACATACTACCACATCATGTAGTTCGATAAGCCAAAAAGGACAATCTGGGCGACAACCGCAGGTTTTATAGCTCACTAGCGTGAATTTAGAAGAAAAATGAAGGATCGGCGCGCAAGCCGTGCAATTCAGATTCGATTAAATTTTGGTCATTTACGAGGGGTTATGGAGAAGTTTTTGTTAAAAATAAATTTGAAGTTAATTTAAAATTAATTTCACGTAACACAACTCTTGCAGACCTTCAGTTTTATGGAATATATCTGAAGGCTATGCTAGTTAGGATTAGTTGATAGTGATTCCTGCAGAACTTCCTGGTGCTTTTGTGCCGGGTTTATACCATCAGGTCCAGTTGTCTTGTATGGTTGAAAGGAATGTATCGCCCATACAAGTTGTTTACTATTGTGTTTGCAAGAAATCAGTTTGTTTTGGAGGCCAGAGGAATTAGTGCCTCAATAATACTCCTGTTCTCTTGTACCGGATAATCTCACATCCAGGGAACTATGACTTTATTAAACTCTAATGTCTCCTCTTCTGTTTGCGAATTCTCCTTACCAACCCAAAAATACTGTATGTTACTGCTCGTTCTTTATAAAGTTATCGCAGTTCCTCCTGTTAATCGGCAAAATCCAAGAAAAATGTAAGCTGAATCTGTATATCATACAGGTAATCAGCGCTTCAATAAAACTAGTAAAGCAAAACTCAAAAACATAATTCAGAGCTTTTTACATTTTAGGCGAAACTCTTAAAAGTGGTAACCAAGATCGCTAACTGGTATACTGAAATCTTACCTTGTACACTAGGGATATTATCTTTGAGCTGAAGTACAGTGTTTGCTGATAATAATAACAATAATTTTGTAAAAACTTTATTGTATACAGGTTTAAAAATTTGAAAAAATGGCAGTGTGTATTTCATATTTATATTTTCATGGAAATTTGATTTACATAAATAAAGTGTGGAGGAAATAATGCTTGCAACTTTAACATTTGTCAAACAAAAAGTACATTACAAAACCAAATATTTGTCAGAAAAAATCTTTATAATACAAATTTTATAATTTTTGTGAAATCCAAATTAAAGAAAATGGATGCAATGTTATTTTTTTGTCGTTTCTTAACTACTTATAAAAAATAGTATGAAAAATATCGGAACATACAATACTTTTTTCTTAAATGGCTGTTAAATCGGACGCGTGCTTACTTATCACGGTATGACTATAGTAACTTTAGAAAAAAATGTTTAACGATGACTCTTCATACTGTTTAATGAACAAGGAATGGTGCGCATATACACTACTTCTTAATCAACGATATTTGAGAAAGAGTAGTTTTGTATAACAGCCGTGAAAAAATAATTGAATAGCTTATTGTAAAAACGTGACAAGCCACATACCAAATGTATATACTCCAACAAATGCTATCATTAGCCAAAAGATGAGGTTACTGCATTTTAACAAAGTTGTAGTAGCTTTAAAAATGTATTTGAACCTTTGAACCATGTTTTCTCAATAAAATAATTTTGTGGCTTGTCACGTTTTTCCAATAAGCCCTTAAATTTATTTTTGCATTGACTTGCTTTGTTAATTTTCCAAAAAAATATATTTTGTTCTCTCTTGCTTGGAATTTAATAAGACCATTAATGTTAGTTATAAGAGTTATTTACTTCACACCTTGTAATTATTTGACTACTTTTTGGCTGGTTAATCAGAACCTAGACATAATTATGAATTAAAAAAAAAAATACGCCAGTAAATCTATTTTAGTTAAAAAATTCATTTTTTCGATTGGAAAATTTTTGGTAAACCAATTGCAAGAATATTCACTAAAGTATACTAAAGCCTGATAGGGACCGTGCGTGAAATATAGAGGCAGCACTACTGCCGAACTTAGCCCTCTCTAGTGTTTAATTTTAGAATTAAATGGGGTAAACATTGCAAGTAAATAATGAAAGGTATTTTTTTAAATATTAAATATAGTTAAAAATAGATACCGGCCCGTACCAAACAATCGTGTAAATGGTCAAAATGACGTAAAATGTGAAACATTATTAAAATCTGGACATGCATATACATTTACTATCGAATGAAATCCAGGTTTCTAAAGTGATGTGTTTGTACATCCACGGATGCAACAAGTTTTTTCGATATTGATATTACGAAAATAATTCGACTTCATTTTATTAATAATTATTAAACAATAAATGCCGTATAAAACATTAATAAATACCCCCCAAAAAGTTCATATTTTTGTCACCAGTTAGCGTTAAAGTCATGACGCACGGTCCCTATAAAACTGAGTAATTTAAAGTTATGAATTTGAGGTTAATGTCATTCAAACATATTAGATTCTTAAGCTCTATCAAAGTTTGTCGGGCTCATAAATTTTAATGCACGTTTTTGCAACCGCCTGCAAAGATTTTAAACCATATTTTACTTATTACAGATTATGCCACAAGTATAGAAAAGATTTAAAAACTTATTTAATCACACACATTTTCCAACCATGAAGAATAATGTTGCAAAGTTTAAAATTATTTCACCTTTGATTTTGTTACTGGCAAAAATTTGTTAACACAAAAAGATATACAGTAAATTTAATCACAGTTTCTGGGGTCGAAAATAAGTCGATTTAAGCTAACTTGCTTCTATAAAAATGGACAGTAAAAAAAGTTAAAGCAAAAATTTTAGAAGTGATTTTGAGCTCTTATGGCCTTACATATGTTTATAAAAATGTACAGGGGATGTTAGTAGTATACACTGATGATAAAATGACGTTAGTGGCGTTTAAAATTGTTTTAAATCTATAGGTTTCTAAAAGGGTTCCACACCTCTTTGACCTTCCTTCTTTATTAGACAACCAAATTTAGTCTAAAATAGGACACCACTGAAATCCTACATTTTTTGACACTTTTTGTCCCTTAATATTTGTTTGTGAAAGCCTTAATTACTGATTAATAGGTCCCAGAAGGAAGGCCATAGTGAAAAGTACAATGAACATTTTCTATTGACCCTAAACCACGTTTTTTTTTACTATTTTACGACTTTATTTATTACAATTTCCTTGTATTATTAAGTAAAAAAAAAAAATCGTGAACAAATATTCGGTGCTTTAAGTTAAGATTAAGAGAAAAATTTCATTGTACAAATACTAGAAGAAAAAAAATTCAAAACATGTAAAATATTAGTGGCTTCCCGTTTTTAACTGAATTTCATTGTCTAAAAAAGTAGGGTGGTCAAAGGGGTGCGGAACCGTTCTAGAATTTAAACAATTTTAAACCTTACTAACTCCATTTTATTGGTCACTGTATACCAACATCCCATGTACATTTTCATAAAAAATATTAATACACTGCGACCTAAAAGATCTATTGTGTCCTCTTCTGTCGCTGATGCAGCAAGGAAATGTCCTATTTTCTTAAGAAAGAGTAGGATTTGGTCTGGCTTCAATTTAGGTAAATTTCCCTATACTTGATATGCTTCTAGGTATAGTGCTCTAGGATTCTGGAGTGCTATGCATTCAGTCAGAATGTGAATAGAGGTTAAGTCATTTTACTTTAACACTCTGTAACTTTTCTCTATATAAGCAAGTTGCTTCCTTATATTTTCCATTGTTTTCCCAAAAACACAATTATTGTCCTTTTTTAATATTTATTTTTTCCAAAAATCTAAATTTATTGTTTTCCAATAAACACAATTTATTTTTTATCCCTTTCTTATATATTTTCCATAGCCTTTCCAAAACAAATTGTTTTTTTTTTATTTTCCATTGTATTCCCAAAAACACAATTTATTGTTGATCCTTTTTTTTTATTTGTATTGTTTTCTCAAAAACAATTTATTGTTAATCCCTTTCCTTTATTTTACATTCCCAAAAACACAATTTATTGTTGATCCATTTCTTTAATTTATACTGTTTTTCCAAAAACACAATTTATCGTTGATCATTTTCTATAATTACTTTCCTATCTGTATACAGATAAGGAAAGTATAGGAATCATGATTTTTTCGACCTCCAGTTTTCGACGGATTTTTACGTTTTGAGGTCTCCTGAATCCATTTTGACTATTTTTGCGATGATGTCTGTGTGTGTTTGTGTGTGTGTGTGGGTGCGTGTGTGTGTGTGTGTCTGTATCCACCATAACTCATGAACCGATACAAAGAAAAACACCAAATTTTAAACTTAAGCTTTATTCCAGCCTGCGGTGAACTGATTAGATTTTGGGCAGAGTTGGATCATTTGGGGGGTACTATATTGGTGGTCATTTTTATATTTTATTAAATATATCCGTTATTTACGTTTGGAGAAGAAAATTTTTCAAATAAAAGTTACTTATAATATTATTATCTATAATTTTTGTTCTATACAAAATTTTCCTAAAATGGTCCGTATTCGAGAAATGACAAAATGTAAAAAAATTATTTTTTTATAAAAATTGTTCAAATAAAAGTTGTTTGTAATATGATTCTCTATAATTTTTATCCCATACATAATTTCTCTAAAATGGACCGTATTCGAGATATTTAAGAAAATGTGTAAATTTCGAATTTTAAAGAAAACTCAAAAACGGACAAAGGAAAAAATATTAAATTTTAAACTTAAGTTTTATTTCGGCCTGAGGTGAAATGATTAGATTTTGGACGAAGGCGGAACATTTGGGGGGGTACTTTATGGGAAGCCGTTTTTATATTTTATGGAATATATCTATTATTGATGTTTGGAGAAGAAAATTGTTCAGATAAAAATTACTAACAATATTATTATCTATAATTTTGGTTCAATACATTTTTTTTTAAAATGGTCCGTATTCAAGAAATTTGACAAAATGTAATAAAATTCAAATTTTTTAGAAAATTGTTTAAATAAAAGTTATTGTGATATCGATCTCTATAATTTTTGTTTTTTATACGATTTTTCTAAAATGGACCGTATTGGAAAAATTGAAGGAAAAGTGCTAAATTTAAATTTTTCAGTATTTTCGTTTTCAATGAATATCTATAGAAAAATGTTTCGAGTTAGATGTATGTGGAAAATGTATATATTTAGTTTATCCTCTAAACATTTATAGAGTTGCTGCAATAGGTTGTACAAAATAACCGGAAAAGGCCTATAATAACTAGATAGGAAAGTCATGTGTTGGACACATCAGATTTTTTTTATTGTTTTCCCAAAAACAAAATTTATTGTCGATATTTGTCTTTAATTTATATTCGTTTCCTAAAAATACATTCTGTTTTGTTGATCCTTTAATTTACACCGTTTTACCAAAAACACAATTTACAAGTGGCGGCTCGTGGGAAATTAAATAGGGGGGTCAAAGTAAAAAGCGCCTCAAAATTTTTTTGGGACCACGCCCTAAAGTGGCTTTATTTCTGGATTTCTAAATGGGGAATATGAAAAAAAAAAAAAATTAAAAACCAGTTTTTGTTAAATTAATCAAAATATATTTTTTCAAATGTTTTAAATTTTAGATCAACTCTTCGGTCTTTATTTGAAAAATGATTGATAGCACGCTCATTAAAATTAACAATATTGTTTATAAACGGTTTCTCTATACTTAACATGGCAAACGCAAATAGTCTTTCTTGTCCTATAGTATTTCGTAAAAATGTCTTTATTCTCTCTAATGTAAAGAAACATTGTTCGCTTTCTACAGTTGCCATCGGTAACGTGCACAGCATAGTCAGCATACTCAACAGTTTGACAGTTTCCGAAGAAGTTACACTAAGATTATTATTAATAAATAATTGGGGCATTGGTACGGCTTCAGAACTTTTTCCAAAATCATCCCGTTCATAAATTTTAGTTGTTTTAAATAATTTACACTAGAAAAATTTTCTTTTACTGATTTTAAAATATGGTCCGGAAAATTATTTTTGTATTGTTCAAACTGAGCGATTACCAAATGGTCACTAAAACTAAAACGGTGGTTAATTTCAGATGTTATTATATCACAAACTTCCAATAAGCGACTTGACGATTAGAATCTTCATTTTTTCTTGGTCTTTTAGCACTAAGCGTGGTAGATGAAGGCATTTCTGAAGTTATTTCATTTATTACTTTACCTCTTGACATTTTGAATTGAAGCTTTAAATGAGTATGTAATTTTTTACCAATATGACATCAATATCGCATTTTTGAAGTTGACTAAAAAGAATTTCGCAATGGGGCATTATTAAATGAAAAAAGTTTAAACCAATACAGAAAATCTACATTTTGCAAAAATATCTTTAACCCAATTTCTTGATTTATTGTATTGGAATCTTCTTCAGTCTCAATTATCTTCTCTAGAGAAGCCAGAATATCAACCTGATATAAAAATACAGTTTCCACACAACGTGTGTTAAAATGACATCTTGTCGGTACAGCTCGAGGTAAACGAACTTTAAATTCGTCGAGAACTGTTGTACGTTTTGGAGATCGACTAATAAATGTAGAAAACCCCTGTAAAATGAAAAAAAAATTTCCTTCTTTATTCTGACTAGCTGCTTTTTGCAGTATTAAGCTTAATTGGTGGGCCTAGCAATGAATAAAATTAGCAGCAGGATATCGTTCTTTAATTTTTTTGCACTCCACCTAATCGTCCACTCATAGTAGATGCTCCATCATAACTTTGTTCAATTAACTTTTTTGGTGTTTTATGTACTTCTAACATTTCTAATTCTTTAAAAATTACGTCTGACAAGTGTTCGGCTGTGGTATCGGACGGAAATATAAATTTTATGAACCTTTCATGGACGATGCCTGACAGTATATACCGTAATATAAAAGTCATTCGTGTTTTATTGGAGCTGTCAGTGGTTTCATCCACCTGAATGGCGATATATTCAGCTGAATTTGCAATTTAATTTGTTCTTGAGCCATCGATAACATTGAATCAAGTAAATAATTTTGCACAGTTTTAGATGTACCAACAATCGTAGGCGTATCTAAGTATTCTTTGAATATTGGATCCAGCTCTGAAACGAAGTATATTAGTCCACGAAATATTCTCGGATTTTCATACGATTCTGTTTCGTCATGTTCCCGTAAAGCCAGCTCAAATGTACAAAACTTCACACAGTCTATTATTTAAAATATATCGATTTTTTGACACATTTTCGTTAAAAACACTTACAGATTGCCGATAAGCAACACTACCAATTGTAGGAAAACTCATAGCACTTTTCATGTAGTCTGCAGATAAAACATGTTTTTTAATTTTGTCTTTTAAATGCTTTAAATCTTGGACACCGTTTTTAAACCATAGAGAGTCATCCGAAAATATAATGAATACAAAACAGTAATAGTATATTACACACCGAGGTGGGAAGAGTTTCATTCCTGTCGTGAGATTAGTTAGATCACCGAGACGCGAAGCGTCGAGGTTAGCTATGATCTCGAGACAGGAATGAAACTTCCTACCGAGGTTTGTATACTATTTTATTTACAACCATCATATTTCGATCAAAGTTAATAAATCTCCGTTTCGTTTTGAACATACCTAAAATATTACATTTAACGACAAATTACCAAGCGCGCAGTTTTCTCCGAATAATCAAGTAAATATATTGTTACTGTGATTACGGGGTAAACAACTGTCACCAATATAAATAAATGTCAGATAAAGCCGGATATTAAATTCGCGAATAATAAATATCAATAAGTAGTTTGTTGTATTTTAGTTCATTGTTGTTTTTTTTTTTTAAATATAAAAAATATTCATCTAGAATATATGAAATGAGGGCGGGAAGTGAGGGCGGGAAGTAGAGGTGTGTAATGTGACACTTCCCAACCTTCAATGACGTTAGTAATGACCACATTACATATATGGTTGTAAATAAAATGCATTACTTCGCACCCGCAAATCCAGTCGGACAAATCATACATAGACTTGCGAAAATTGCGATGAACGTCTTTATTTTAGTCCTTGCTAGTCTACTTAATTTTCAGATCTGGCAGAGGGCAACCATTTTATTTTAGTTCCAAACGTTTTTTGACTTCAGGGGTTGAGAGTATTACTATTAGTCATCCATCTCATCCCATCCCTATACAGCCAAAATAAAAATATAAATGAAAATACTGGACGACCTACGTCCAACCTGTCATCTCTTACCCAAGCATGTAATAATTACAATGGCTTCGTTTGTCCGTTAAAATTAAATCGCCAGAGTTCGACTAAATCCGTCTGAATTTAAGGCATTGAGGACATATACGGACTCAATTTCTAAATTTCATACACATTTGATGTGGTTGTGGGAGTTAGATAAATACGTCGAGTACCAGCGTTTACGAGGGCCCTTACAATATTGTCGGTAAATTATTATAGTGATCCACAATATATCTGAAAAGGTCAACGTGGAGGAGGCCACATGGCCCATAGTCTTAATTAAATCTAATCTAATATTTATTTTTATTTGGGGGGTCATTGACCCATTGACCTAAAGGAGAAGCCGCCACTGCAATTTACTGTCGATCATTTTCCAATATTTTCTATTGTTCTTTTTTTGTTTCTAAACAATCAATTACTTCAAGAAGAACTGTAAGGAGAGGAACCAGAAAAAAACGTGGAAGACAGCTCGTTGTAAGAAACTCCTTCTCAGAGTATACCCCTGAAAAAAGCTTGGGAAGATGATACGGACTCTCAACAAAGAGACAGAAATGTCGATAGAGACTCATTTTCGACTTCAAAAACTGTGGTTAAAGTTAATGTATATTTTTTTGTTACACCCTGTATATAGGGTTGCCACCTTTTTTTTTTAAAAGGACAGTCCTTTTTTCAAGCAAAATGTCCTTGCGACTATTTAAAGCTTAAAATGTCCTCTTTTACGTCATATGTCATGTTTTACTCTTTGATATCTTTGCAAGGGACTTATCTGAGAAGCTTTGTTTTTTAGAAGTTCAGGATGAGGACCTTTTGTATACTGGATCCCCTATCAGCATCATTGTCTTTTATTCACTTTTCAAAAAGGTGGCAACCCTACCTGTATATATACTTGAGTTGAAAGCAAAAAACCGATTCAATAGCTAACTTGCCTTTGCGTCTTTTGTTTAAGGAACTTCATGAAAAACATTAGATGTGCAAACAGTATCTTCATTATTACGTTTTGAAAAATTGTTGCTACTGGATTAATCGGATGACGCATTAAAATACAACTAGGCGGAGCTTTCGAATGTAGCCATTGAGTCGATTTCTTTGCTCTCAAGTCCATATTATATTTATAGCCCTAGAATTCTAGAAATGAAAAAGAACAGGTTTCAAAGTGAGAACAAGAAAATCATTTGTGAAAAATTTTGTATCAGTCCTGGTATACAGTAAATGCTTTTATTCTAAAAAAAAAAACACTTTCTTCAAAATAATAAAGACAAAATTATCTGGCACACATTAAAAAGTTCCTATTCGACAAATAAAAATCACATTAGCCTTATAAATTATAGCATTAACCCCTAATTTCTTACAAATTAAATAGATCAAATAAATATACATTTTTCCAAACATAAATACTACAACATTAATAAAAAAATTACAATCACAGAAAATTTCACAATAACAATTTTAAAAAATAAGTAGCTAGCTGTCTACAGTATTTATATTTAGAAAATATAAACGAAAATAAATATAAAAAAAGAAAATTTAGTGAGATTTTATACAGGATGTTACTAAGCTCCTTGCCAACACATACAGACATGTTGGCGAGGTCAAGAAAAAACAAAAACCTAAATACAAATTTTCTCAAATTGAACAGTAGATGTTGGTATTTGAGTGGAACTAATTCCCACAAAGACAGTATTTGAATTTTTCATTTCGACATAATAAAACGCATGCAAAACGCGTTTTTTTTGCCGCCATCTTGAAAAAAAAATCAAAAATTATAGAAAATCATGTTATGACCATTTTCGCGATGAAAAAAAAAACACCAAATTTTAAACTTAAAACTTTAACCCAGTATTTCCCAAAGTGGTCCAGGTGGACCCCCAGAGGTTCACGAGAGACTCGACGGGGGGTCTACGTTGGGCGTAATAAAAAATGAGGGTCCACAATCGTAAGTGGGGGTGCATGAAAATTAATTTGGTTTCGATAGTGAAGCAATATAATAAATTAAATAATAATTTTATATCACATTAAAATAAGTTCAGCCGTTTTCATAAAACTCTATTATGGATCTTAGCGATTTATTGCTTTTAATAATTAGAAACAGTTTGCAGCCGGAACTTTGTTTATTTCATAATATTTATAATAATTGATTAATCATATTATGTTAAAATAGCCATATCCTGTTAAGTTCGAATCGCCTTGAGATTACTAAAACAAAGTTTTTTTTTATTTATTTACTTACACATTTACAGGGTAATTGATACAAAACATGGCCGAATCTAAGAAGAAGTGTCCAGTACAGTGTTGAATATTTAAAATTTGGTTTTCTTCCATCAAAGGCAGACAAACGATTGCCCACATGCCTTTTATGCAACAAAGTTTTGAGCAATGACTCTATGAAACCATCAAAGCTTGAAGATCATCTAAGAAGGTGTCATCCTGATAAAATAGGTAAAGATTTGAAATATTTCCAAACATTAAAGGAAAAATATGAAAAGAGACGCACCGTGCACAGTATGTTCTCTACAACGTCTGAAAGCAACGATGATGGCTTGCGGGCATCTTACATTATCTCATTACTTATCGCAAAATCTGGAAAACCGCACACCATTGGAGAACAGTTAATTTTACCTGCTGTTGAAGAGGTTTTAAAAGTTCTGCACAAATCTTCATTTGACATACTCAAAAGAATTCCTTTGAGTAACAACACTGTACAAAGACGTATTGATGAAATGAGCTCTGATGTTGAAAGTTTCTTGTGTGATTATCTATAAACAACTCATTTTTCTATTCAACTGGACGAGTCAACTTTACCTGGCAATGAAGCATTATTATTGGCATATGTTCGATTTGTTATGGGCGAAGAAATTCATGAAGAGCTACTATTTGCGAAAACTTTGAAGACGGACACTAAAGGTGAATCAATAACCATTTTAAAGCGATGAACCAGAAATCACTTTGGTAATACCCTTGGTTAACCTTGAAATCACGTGACTAAAGCCCTAAAAAGATAACCGGTTATTGTAACGCATTAACGTTAAATCGTTTTTAAGGAATATGACATGAAATTTTGACATTTCATTTCTAGGTTAATTTGATGAAACTGGCCGGAATAAAATTGTGTGATGTTGATATGTTACCAAAAAGAATTATATTTGTGTAGACTGGATGTTACAATTTAATAAGGAACAGTTTGACATGTTTTTTACATAGTGTATCATTTTTTGATAATTTACATAGCTAATGTCATTTCCAATTTTGACTGAGCTAATTCTATAATCTAACCAAAAACACTAATTGCATGTCTCTTCCACTTGTCATTATTAACCCACGTATGGACTTAAAGGGCTTAACTATGACGTTATAGAAAGTAACTTTAATTAAAACGGTAAATACCGCAAATTACCGGTTGATCGCTTTAAAACGGTTTATATTTAATGTTTTGAGTGATTTTTTTAAAGAAAAATCGATTCCATTCACAAACATTATTTCGGTGGCAACAGATGGAGCTCCTGCCATGGTCAGGCGATATCGTGGGTTTATAAGCCATCTTAAAAGAATTATACTAGAGGTAATTGCGATTCACTGTGTTATCCACCGACAACATCTAGTAGCAAAAAATTTGAATGATAGATTGCACCAATCGCTTCAATTTGTGATTAATGCAGTTAACAAAATAAGAAGCAATGCATTGAATACGCGTTTATTTGCACAATTGTGCGATGAAAATGATGAAGACTTCCAACGATTGCTGTTACATACCGAAGTACGCTGGTTGTCGAAAGGTGCATGTTTATCAAGATTTTATTTAATTTTTGACTCAGTTTTAGAGTTTTTGGAAAGTAAAGATCCTGATTTAAAAAAAATTGATCAATTTTAAAGCAGACATCGATCGCGTATTTGACAGATTTGTTCAAAAAAATTTAATGACCTCAATTACAAGGGGACAGCCTCAATTTATTAAAAACAAAGAGTGTAATTTCAGCTTTTCTTGGTAAATTGAAATTTATGAAGGAAAATATTAGTCGGCGCGAATTTTCAGTTTTCAAACTTGTCGCAGGTAGAATGCCTTGATGAAGATATTCAGACACACGTTCAACATTCGATTGCCCTGCATGATGATTTTAAATTCAGATTTGAAGATATTCTGTCGATGGAAATACCACCATGGATCATAAATCCATTTGATGAAACGGAAGTGGATAATGTGATATTATAAAAGGAGCTTAGCACAAATGAGGAGCTGAAAGTGACTTTTAAAAGAGGGTATTAAAAATTTTGGCTGCAGCAGAAATACCCGAAAAATATCCTGGACTGTGGGGAATTGTGCAGAAGCTTCTGATAGCGTTTCCCTCGTCATATCTCACCGAAAAAAGTTTTAGTGCCGTTACAAACTTATTACCAAAAAAGAGGAGCAGATTAAATATCACAGAAAGGGGAGATTTACGGTTATTCCTTACAAAACTCAAGCCAAATATTGATAATGTGCTGTCAATCCATCAAGTACATCAAAATTATATTTTTTTTGTAATTACCATTGTAGAAATTACATTACGTTATAAGTGTTTAATTTTAATTATATTACAACGGTTATAACAATAATAATTAATAGTGCAATAATTTATATATTTAAATTTAAATAAATACCTACAACACAAGGAAATATACTATATTTCTTTTTACCACTCCGAATGGGACGTTTTCTAAATAAAATTTGTGAGAATTGATTGGTTCTTGTGCTGTGAGTCATTGTAGATTTTAAAAAAGTAAAGTTGGATGGAGTCACTTTTTCGTTTGGCCAACTTTGCTTTTTTGACATCCACTCACAGCACAATCAATTAAAATTTAATTGAAAATTTGTTTAGTCGACTTTATTATCAAATAATTAACATTAGGCAATCAATTCTAACTTTTTTTTTTCGAAAACTGTTAATTCGTCATTAAAACTCAGCCACAACGCAAGTTTCCATAGATAGATCTAATCTTCACTTTTTTTTTCGAGATTTAGAAATTGGTAGTGATGTAGCTACAGGGGGGTCCACCAGATCCAGCAAAATTTTGAAAGTGGTCTATGAAACAAAAGAGTTTGGGAACCCCTGCTTTAACCCATCCTGTGGTGAGATGATTAGATTTTGAGCATAGTCGGAACATAATATAGGGGGTACTTTATAGGAGGTTTTTCCTAATTTAAGGTATATTTCTGTTATTTAATATTTTAGAAGAAAATAAAAGTTGTTTGTAATGTCATTCTCTATCATTTTTGTTGTATACATAATGCATCTAAAATAGACCCTATTGAACCACAATTGTTGTGCACATTATCCAATTTTTCAGGTTCACAGAAGGTACAGTTGGTATTTTCTGTCTCTAAAATACCTGGCGTCCTTATTTCTTGTTGCCATCCTTTTCGTACTAGTTACTAGTAGCAAAATTCCTCTGTGAATCCTTTGAGCTAGATGTGAGCTTACAGTTCAATTTGCTTTTTTTGTCAGTTAAATATTAGAAATATTTATTAGTTAAATTTCTTTTATTCCCCCTTTTCTTTTAATTTTTAATATTAATTAATTCATCTTTCACAAAAAAATTAATTTCCTTCTTTTTCAAATTATTTTCGTTACATATTTTTGGCAAAAGGGCAAAATTTTAATTTTTCGGTGTGTTCTTAGCAATGATCTGAATAATTTTTATCAATTAATCATATTCTAAATACTTTTTTGATTACATGGATTGTACTTAATATTTTTCACAAATCTACAGGAAAATCATATTTTTTTTTTTTAATTTGAGCAATTTTTTTTGTTTTTCTCATTTTAAACTATTGAGAAAAACGTATTTAGGTTTTTGTTTTCTCGTGATCTCCTCAACATGTCTGGAAAAAATGGTCAAGGGGTTTGGTAACAGAGTGTATATCCAGACCTACCCTATATTTTTTGAAAATACTGTGCTGGCCGATTTTATTCAGTATTTTAAAATGTTTGATATAATTCATGAGATGGGTAGAAAATGTAAGTTGACACCTAACCTCTATTGTTATGTATTGTTTTACAAAATTGAATACTAAACGACTATTTAATTAATGTTAGGTATCTACTTAGTTTACTAATAATGTTATTTTAAGACTTAAATGAAATAATAGAGTTCAAAAACTAAGATCTTATGGACGTAATGGTCCCATTAGTTAATGGACTTTTGGTATTCATTATGAAATCGGCCTTTAGTCTATAAACACTAATACGCTGTATTGTGTTCATCGTCATCGCCAATATTATTTTTAAATAAAGAAGAATTATTCAGTGTCTTAGAATAGTATATTCCAACAGAGTAACAGACGGCACTTTCTCCACGGCCACCGACACAGTAGGAGTTGAATATAGTAAAATGAAACTTTGAACAAAATAAAATATTTAATCTAACTTATGTTAGGCAAGTTTTGGCTCAAATCATTTGCATAATTCGTCCGTTCAGGAGCAGTATTATCAAATTCTATATCAGAATCGTTATATTTACCAATTTTCGAATTTAAGTTCGACTCAATTAACACCGCTTATCTTTATTCAGGCAAATTCAAACTAAATAATACTGTCAATCATAAAATTCATGGCTATCTATGACGCGGGCGTGATATTCAGTAGCTACTACAGAATAAACATTCTGTCATTTGAGTTAGAATGAAATACGTGTAATATACACAATAGGCAAGTGTTTCATAATTTTCTTTCAATCTCAAGAACGAGAATGTTTTCTTTCAATTATAAGTGGTTTCGGAAGAACTACTGTCAGTAGTGGCCGTGGAGAAATTATTTTTATGCCACTAACTTTAAGTTATTATTCTTTCTTTACATCTTGGTCGCATTTGAGTTTGAAATATATTTTCTTTTAATATTATTTACTTCTACAAACGGCAATCACATTTAAAACATATTCATTTACACATTTTCAAAACCAATCTAAAAATTAGGCTTCCTAAAACTCCCAGATACCTGTATATTTTTAAATAAAGGACTAATAGGTTTTTCACTAAACAAACTATTAGAAGTGACACTTTTTGTGTCAAAGTTCCTCAATGAAGAATTGCAGAAACTTTGTTGTGGTATACCGTTTTGTATAAAGAGCATATTGTCCTGACTTAAAACAGGATAAAAAGTATTGTTATCAGCCTTGTAATATAGAACAGAAGGTTTCGGGGTTCCTAAAGTCATTGGAGGACTTATAGGTGTAAAATGATAAGCTGGTTCTGATAATATTGATACTCTATCTCCTTCGCTAGTGATAGAAGGTTCTCTTGATACCGGTAAGGAACTAAATGGATTATTTAAATTATCATGAGTAGATCCAAATCCAGAACTCTGACTTGAAGATCTGCTTAAATTCGTTGAACCAACATTTGCTGAAAAGACACATGCATCGTTTTTCCAAAAACCACCAGCAGTCCATGGGTTTTGTGTGATATTTCTGAGTTTAGCAGGTGATAAAATCGGTCTCTTATTAACAGAACTAACAGAAAATATAGGGGAGGTGCAACGCTCATACTTATGACCTAGGTTAGTTAAGTGTAAGTTATCTAAGCTACGATTAAGCTCATTACTACTAGAGCTATTGTATAAATCTGAGGTAGAAGTTACACTCTTGGCAGTGAAACTCTTGGCAGCAGTCACATGTTGAATTAATGGCGAGTAGGCCCGATAGGACGTTGGAGAAGTTATTGTAGATTTTGGGGAAGTCATCTTCAGTCTTTGAGAAGTATTGAAGGAGCGGGGTATTTCTTCGTCTGTTTCTTCATCCGATGATTCTGCATTATTTTCGGGCTTCATTAATTTTTTAAATTTGTAATCTTTTGTGTTTGTCGATTCAATTGATGTAAACCAAGTATAATAACACAGAAGGGTTAGAGATGCAAATAACTGTAAGAGATTGTTTGTTTTTACCTTTTTTTTTAAATGATATGCAATATTTACAGTACTAATAATTTATACATGGTAATCCACAAATGTTTAGAAATGGACATGATAGTGTGACATCAATTTTTTTTAAGCAAAGCAACCATAACAACTCCTATGTCAATGCTGTCATAGTTGTCAAAACTTTAAATGTGGTTTGGTTTTTGTTTAAAATGAATGTATCTTAAATTGTCCCATAATTTTATGATCCCTATAAAAGTTTACTTTGTTTATCATTAAAACAAATTCGGTAGTTTTGTTTCTCTCAATAAAGGTTTCAGTAGGTATATTCACAAATTGTGGAATAACTTTAAACTGGAAAAAACAACAAAAAGCAAAAATTATTTTCTGCGGGTTCAATTGAAAAAAAAAATAGTTGAATTCCTGGCGATTTTATTTTGGGAGACGAGTTTAATCATTTCATATTATTTGTTGCCTGAAGGTGTAAATTTTAACATCCTACTATTTTTAATATCTCCACCATTTTCCAAAAAAAACAGCTTTTGTATACTAGGATAATTGAAAGATCCAAAATTAATGTGGACAGTACAACAATAAAAATAATATTCTATACTAAGCTTATTGATTTTTTTAATGTTTTTGTCCTAAAATTACTTGACCCAAAATTATCTCCCAAATTTAAGTAGTTACTGTCATAGGGCCGTCCCTTGGCCCCTTGATTGGATGAAAACAAGAGATGTTTCTCGTCTAAGTCAGCAACTTTTAACATAACGAATAACACTTGTTTTAGTTCGGTGACCTGACTACACATAAAACACAAACATACATACATTATTTAATACAAACATTTATAAAACTGCAACATAGCTTTGGTTTAAAAACCATAATTGTACCCATAATGGTCATGTAATTTAATTAATTTGCATATTAGTCTATATCAATTTTCCACATATTTATTGCAATACAATTTCCAGCGTTATTTAGAGCCGTCCCTGTTACTCTGTTGTTTCAAGTATTGACTTTTTAATTCTCAGATTCCCACTATCTGTCAAGATCACCTGATTTCCAATGGGTCAAATACCTACCTACACTTCCAGTTCTTGGCCCAAGCAATAAATCATTATTATAGCTTGTTAAAGTTGTTATTTGATTTTCTAAATTAATTTAAATACTTATTTCTCAATTTTCATTTTATATTATGTTCATTATTTCATAGAACAGTTTACAGTTTTGGCGCGAGACCTCTGTATTTTCAAGGAAGCTAGTTGTAGCGCCACAACTGAAAATCATAAAGGGTTCTCAAAATGACATCAGACACATGTGCATGCAGTGCATGTAAAAAGTGTTTGCAGCTTTTTCTTGAGTAATTTCCTAGAGAACTAGATTTTCGGGTATTTGTGAAAGGTTTCTCTTGTCCCAGTTAGCTAACTGGTTGCACAGAAGTTAAGTACACATACAGAAATTCTTTTTGGTAAGAATCAGGGCTGTTGAGGACTTATAGTGTCACTCCCTTGAGATTATTAGCAAAACCTCTATCTTTTACACCACACAGGATTAACCCAGTATATTATTTCTGACTTGAGTGTGGACAGCTACATTCACCCTCACTTAAATTTTTGTCTCCAAAAAGGTTGTCCCAGATTTTTATTTTAATTTTCAATTTTTGTGCATTGTCATAAATTAATGTGTGATAATGCAATTTCATGTAACTTTTTAATAGTATTCTTGCTCTAGCACGTCCTGATTCAAATGCATCATTTTCTAATTACCCTGATAATTCCCTGAACCCAGACACCATTCCTTTTACTGTTGAGAGTTAGATTTAGATGAAGAAACTACAGAGTTAATTACGTTTGATGATGAATCTCGCACATAATTTCTTCCCTCAGGTATTCACATGCCTAAGCTATTCTGTGAGTCAGAGAGCCATAAATATGCCCCATGAAATAGGTGTGCAATGCTCCCTGATTTCAAATAGCCTTCCTGAGGAACCTGTGCTGAAATGAAACAGCTTTGTACCCATATCAAAGGGTAAAGTTGAGGTCATACAAAAGTGTCCTCTCAGGGCGCTTTTAACCCCTCTCATTCTATTTATTTGAGATTTAAATTATTTGACATGAAATGCATTATTAGTGTGTTTTATACCATTATGATTTATTTATATATATTCCTGAAGTATCTGTTTACAACAGTAACTTTTTGATGTTACAACTATCATAGTCCATTTGTGAATTTTGAGTTTTGTTACATGTGGATTTAGAAAATAAATTAATTTAACTTTAATTTGAAAAATATTGACTAACTTGAATATTAGTATTATTTGATATTGATGAAACAGTTGAGAAGTATTACTATGAACAACTTACCTTTGTTAAAAAAATGTAGACCATAAAGTAATCACTAAAATTCAATGAAAAGGTGACAAACAATAAAGCCCAAGCAATCAGTCCATTTGCTTTCCACCAAAAGGTCCTTCTCTGTCCAATTGATAACACCAAATCCAGGAAACATCCAGAAATTGTTGTATATGTCATAATATTAGTTTGAAGTTTAACATCTTTCGGCATATATATTTTTAAACTCTCCCAATCTGATCTATATTCATTATAACTATTTGATATTGTATTATAAAAGTCTACTAAAAGTATTTTGTAAGAATTGAACACTCCAATGGGCAGAACTTTGTTCCAATTTAATTTTGGATATACTATTCTAATGTTTAAAATATGAAATAAAATAATAATGTTAAGAACAATTAAGATTAGCCTTAATAGCCTGAGAAAATAGGAATTTTTATTTTCAATTTCTTTCTTTGCTAGCTTTAAAAGGGACACTCCCTTTTTTCTTATATCTTTAAGGCGACTTCCAAATAGCCAAGCATGTTGTTGGTCAATTGTTGTTTTTAATACCTTTTCACATTTTTTGCAGAGTTTGTAGGCTTTTTCAAGTTGCTTTCTGAAAAAGAATGTAATATTAAAGTGATTACATCAGTGGCGGCAAGTGGCTTAGTCTACAGGGGGCTCACTGTGACTAGAATTTGAAATATACTTTGTAAGTTTAAAATAACCAAAAAAGGTTGACAGCTGTGTGCACATAGTTTAGATTCAAAAGGAAAGACTTGTATTTCGTGTAAAACTTTTTAATTAATAAATGCAAAACTATTGTATTCTAAATTTAAATTTCAATATATTTTCCATAGTCACCCTCTATTTGTAATTTTTTTAAAATTTTAACTTATTTTCAACTGTACTCAAGCACTGATGATGTCTCAATGCCGAAAGCACTTTGTATTTATTAATTCAAAAGTTTTGCAAGAAATACAAGTATTTCCTTTTGAACTTTGTAAGTTGACTGCTGGTGTCTATATTGCTGTGAAATATTGGTTTGAATTGGATTAAAATTGGCAAAGGTGATTTTGATATCAACCAATCTGTTGATTTCCATAAGAAATAATGTTTGAAAAATTGTAAAAATAAGGAACAAAAGAGAAACAAGCCAGCAATATTAGTAAATAGGATAACAGAAAATATATTGAATGCCAGGGATGAAGAGCCTGATTATAATTTGAACAGACCCTTCAACCGTTTTGTTCTTATGCCTTGATAGGTAGAAATATATTAGCCACTGCCAAAATCATATACTTACTGAAAATGTTCGATTTCCAAATCATAGTTTTCTTCATTTATTGGAACAAATTTAGCCAACTGATACACTTTCAGTTGTTGATTGTTGTTACAATAAGTACATAACCCGTTTTCATAAGTTTCTGCCATTTGAGTGGAATACTTAGTAGAAGAAGTATCATATTGTGCCTTAATAACTTTATTATAACTACCATCCTGCTTAAATCCATTGTATTGCAAACAAGAGGGGCAGTCAAAATGATTTCTATCTTCATAAGCAACTTTCGTCCATTCATTGCAGAACCAACAGTTCACACTTACGTAAAATCCATTCCTAGTGAATAAAAATAGTGATTACTAATAACCATTGCCATCACATTTTAATTTATTGCTTACCTTTTTATTAGGTATAGGTTAAGGATGATTAAAAAAGCAAGTAAAAATGCAGCCAAACAGAATACTACAACAACAAAAGACTCTAAGAAAAAATGCATTTTAGATAATGCTAAGAAATACAAAATTTAGATAATAAACTAGTAAACTATACTAAACTAGAACACTAGACCGCGGCCGCACGCTTTTTAGCGGTCTTGACTTTTCTTACAAAACATAACCTCAAAGTTTTCATGTTTGAAAAAATATTAATTTTTCTACTAAAACTTTTTTTTAATAAATAATAATTTTACCCCGTAATATATTTACGGTTAATTTATATCTTGTAAAATAGTATTACTGTAAAAGTGAAATTTTATTTTAAATATTTTTAAAACCTTTACTACCGAACTGTATAGCCTAAAAAGTAAAAGTCAATTACATATCGATAGCTTTATACAAAAATGGCGAAATCGATTGTTTAGTTTTAATTTTTTTTTGGTAAGGATAGTTAACTTCTCTATTAGGATTGGCCAATCCTATAGTATGTTACGTCATTGCCGGACCAGATATTTATAAATTCATGTGTTGTTTATACGTTTGTACATGGTAAGAACCTGTTTAGTGTCCGTTAGTGTAGTTCATTCCTACACTAGTAGGACGATCGAAAGAATCTAATGTGTACTAGTGTACAACATTTTCCCAGTGATTTACCTCTACACTACACTAAAATAGTAATATGTCAATGATCGGTGCAGTAAAAATGGAATAATACTCTGATGACATTATGAAGAAAGTACATATTAATTTTTAATTATTTTTAGGTTTTGTTTGTATATTTATTTTTGTATTTAAATATTTTGACTTGTCCTGTGTATAAAGAATCAATAAAAAATTATTGTTTTCAAATTGGATACTTGTATTTTTCGTATATATGTAGTTATTTCATTGAAAATTTAATAAGGATATGATTGATAGTTTTTAAATATGTGTGCTATTAGAAATGTTCTGAAAAATATTGTGCCATCACCTCCCACAATTGCTTGTATTGTAACGTGGTCGTTCAAATATTCTATGTATTGTTACGTGAATTCCAATAATAAATATTTTTCTTATCGTGTCTTATTTATTTCGAAATAGGTACATCAAATGGTTTATATTTAAATGACATTCACTATTGCTATTCTTATTTTACACGAAATATAAGCCAGAGCAGTATAATCGTGTTCATTTTTAAATTCGCCCATTCGATGGTGCGGCAACTATGTTATTTTCCCGAAAACTTCCGCTGATACACGATGCATTGAGCAACCCTATAGACAGTCAATATCCTTGGGTTAGTTTTGATAATAAAATCGATATTTTTTTAAATTCGATTGTTACAATAAATCTGACAACAATGACAACTGACAATAAATAACAAATACAAATAAACATAACCTAAAATTAAAATTTCTAAAATTTAAATTTTATTGTAGTTTAGAGGTTTAAAGTAAAGTATTTTTAAAAATGAGTTTGCCTACTGATTTTGGGCCTGATTCTGGAGGTAGAATGAAAGTAAGTGACTATACTCAAATTAAATTAAAACAATAAACCTTATACTGTTTACAGGGTATATGCATAGTGAAACCTATTGTGTATGGTAATATAGCAAGATATTTCGGCAAAAAACGAGAAGAGGACGGTCATACTCATCAATGGACTGTATACGTAAAACCTTACAATAATGAAGATATGTCAACTTATGTTAAAAAAGTTCAATTTAAATTACACGAAAGTTATGCTAACCAAAATAGAATTGTTGTTAAGCCGCCTTATGAACTGAGTGAGACAGGTTGGGGAGAATTCGAAATTGTCGTTAAAATATATTTTCATGATCCAAATGAAAGACCAGTAAGTAAAAAAAAGCAACCCATTTATCAAGTATAGATGTGCTTGACTGTTCTTTTTAAAGAACTAGTTTTTTTATCACGGAAAATCCATTGCTGTTTGAATCTGAATGTTAAATACTAACACACCCTTGTAAAGTATTATAAACTGCTAAATAGTAGTTATATTTTTAGAGCTGTGTTCTGATCATACCTGTGAGAATGGCAATTTGAATGTGGGTAATCTTGTAGTTTAGGTAAAATTTACATGTCTGCACTAACGTTTAGAATTTGAATTTTACACTTGCCATATTTCCATTCTTGTTTTGCTGAGTGGTTTTTAAATTTTGAGGACCAGAAAAATCTGTGATGCACAAAAAAATACATCAAAATCTAAAATTAAAGAATATTTTTATTAATTTCTAAAAATTTTGTTTGTCCTCAAAATTTATGTTTGGTAGCATCTCTGATTACTGAAATTTAAGTGAGAATATAATAATATATTGGTATCGACAAAATATGTATAGGTACATCTCTTATTTGGGTTTAGCTTTATAAAAATACTTTTTATTGCTTAATTTTAGGTAACAATGTATCATATATTGAAATTATTTCATTCTGGAAGTACTCAGGATATTGGTATTGAACAAAGTAAAGGCCTAGTGTCTGAAAATTATGACGAAATTATTTTTCAAGATCCTACACAGCTTATGCATCATTTATTGACGAATACAAAGCAGTTGACATTAGGAAGGTGGGAGCATAATACAAACTGTAAGTACAGTAATATGATATTGTTATTAATTGATTGTATCTACTAAGATTCAATTTCAAAATTGTATGCAGCAATGATAACTGTAAAAAAGCTGTCAAAGTTGCCATATGCAATAACTTTAAAAAGAGAATTATTTTTTTCATAGGAATTATGTAAATCGAATGTTAAAATACATAATTGTATTCTAGTCAAAGACTGGCTGTTGCCCTGTTGCCATTTTATTAACTTATGTACTAGTTGTATGCATACCATGAAAAAATAAGTACTGCATAACTAGTTCTTTTATATCTGGCAATAGAGCTCACTTTTAGTCCCTTAGGTAACTTGAAAATCTCAAGGAACTTAAACATATGATAGATGTCATTCTTGGCTTTACTGCATACAATAATAAATTAGACAATAATAATATTCATTCAGAATGGCCAATGGGTAGCAAAAATAACAGTTAGTTGACTGTCTTTTTCACTAGTGTTTGACTGTTAGCTGTAAATATGAAGACTAGAGATAAGGAGGCGAATCAGCATACTCAAAATACAGTCCCAAAAAACGCATGCTTATTGAGCTTCTATAATTAACCACATGGGCGCTGGTACTGCATACGGTGTTCAAAATACATGGCTTCTTATGGGAATTATACATAATTTTGTCAAAATAATAAAAATAAACTTGTTTATAGCTAAATAAAGCAAATAACATACTTTGTATTTATTTCTAAATAAGTCTTGCATGTTTTAATTGATAAATTATTTAATTTTATCTATATAAAATACAAATTAGGTATGTATGACCAAATTCGAAAAGGTTTCT